CTAAGGTTAATAATAGTCAGGTAAGTCTTATTGATCAATGCGTGTACCACTCGCCATCGGAAACTCAAAAGTCTGAGTTCTGGAAAGTTAGGTTTGTTGAGTGTTGAGTCACGCCACCCAGCAATACCAGCTTTAGCGTTGTATACAATACGGTAAACAAAGCGGGAATTATATATGCACCAATATCCAAGGTAAAAAAATGGCGGTGAATTACACCGGCTGCTCGACCTTGAACGAGGAATAGCAGCAACCGAAATATAACCATGCAAAATGTTCGACCCGGAGACATCGGATGCTCGGTTCCAACTTGCTTCAGCATTTGATACCGCCCTTAAATTTGACTTTAGTGTCACCCAGTGCAGAGGGTATTTTGGATTTGCCTAATGATAAAATCTTCTTAATTTTTAGTGCTTCCGCACCGATCGTTTGGTCGTCGTGGAAAATGAAACGGTGCTTGAGAATATGGGTTCATGTTTGATGGATGCCGACTCATATTTATCTGGTCTGGTGTTCGATGTGCAGCATGAAGCAAAAGAATTTCGAAAATTGACCGTCTACAAAATTCGCATGGCTAATTATCTCGTTGACAACACGAATCATTTACAAGACCGGTAAACATATGCTTCAAATTCTGACATATCAGTACGACACTCTTTGTCGATGCACATTATTCACACCTGTTCTTTTCCCTTATTGTTCTCCGGCAGGAAGGCGTAAGGATCAATTAAGATGCTCTGGTGCAGCCTTTTTGGTACAGATGGCTTCAATGCAAGGCAGTGGTCAATATCAGTGGTCAGCATCCTGCGACTTCGAGTTTCAAGCTGTGTAATTGGCAGATGACCTTCTGTGCCAACTGTGCAATTTATCCCTTTATGCTACAAAAGATCAAAGGCTCTGTGAGCATAATTCGAATCTTTTGTCTAATCAACGAATTTCCAAGATATGCACTTTTATTTGATGATTTCTTTGTGAGCACCATTTATTGCGTGATTCGAAGCTACATTTGTCCTACAAATCTCAGAGGAAATGCTAAACCTCCAGCATTGTTTTTAGCTGAAATATGGTCAGATTAAAATAACGCAGGTTGAAACAATTCATTGAAAAACTCATAGTTAGAAATGCCAATACACGTAATATGGGGGCTTAATGAATGGTTTCAGAGTGAGCAATAATCTTGAGAAATGTTTTCCAGACAGCTTACATCCAGTCATCACTCTCCAATCAAACTGAAGGAGTTTCGCGATGCTGGTAAAAATCGTAACTACAGTATATAGATTTAATAACATATTATAACGATATTAGATAGTATGCCGTGGTTTACCGCATAATTTGAAATAGTTGACGGGGCAGTAGGTCTTGAAAATAAACTATTTTAGTAGCATGAAGCTTTCAGAGCCTCTGAACAACGGTGTGCGGTTATCAGCGTGGTAACAAAGGTTGTTGCAAACCTGATAAATCATTACCCTCGATAAAGAATACTATTCTGTGGTTCCCTAAGCTTCATGTTAACCAATGTTTCATCTTTAGTTATTCTCTGCGTCAGCGTCTTGCGATTCACTGTTTTGAAACTGCTTATGAATTTGTTAACTGGTATACTATTTTAGTACCTTTAGTCTTAAGTGACGAATAAGGGTTTTTTCTCGGTTCAAAATTTTACATGATAAGCAGACATATATGTTATATTTTAGAAGTTGAATTTGAATTCACGCATTCATCACATTCGGATCATTAAACAAATTATATTCTTGAAAATTCAATGTTTTGGAAAGGCCTCATTTTGCTCCGACGTTTGTGGCGTCAAACATATAGTCTACACAAGCGGACATCTGCAATTTATGTAGATTCAAACTTGTGGTCACCTGACTGCTCATTGGCACAGCGACTACCGGTTATTACCTAGACATCTCATTTCACGGCCGATTAAACCGCGAAATTCATGTTAAGTAGATTCAGAGGCACATCCCTACTTAATACCACAGAAGGAAAAATT